TTCGAATTCTCCGCTCGAAACGTATTTGAAACGTTATCTTTTCTCGATCGTCCATTGACACTGACCAAGAGGCCAAGCGTCCAACCATACGATAGAATATAGGGAGGTTAAATCGAAGTTAAACCGCGAACACGACTCGTAACGCGCCAGCAAACGATTTCGATCAATAGCCGGCGCATAAACGATTTTATTACGACGACGTGGAACATTTGTTTAGCGGGATACGGCAAAAGGCCGGGGTATTGGTTGAACCGGCCTCATTATGTAGCGTCTATGCACCCCGATGGGAATACTATGCAAGAACACAGCGCTCTTTGATACTCGAAAGTACCTCCGGCCAGTATCGCCGGTCCAGAATGCCCCCTTGAATGGACCCATTTCACTCGACGGGGGTTCACCGGTAATACGCGATCATCTTAACGGACGCACGAGCCGCAGACGCGTACGATCGCCACGAGATATCGCGTCCATTACGTTATTTCGTGTCCCGAAAACGCGGAACGGATGAGTTTCGTTTCACTGGATAATCGTCCTTGAGAAATAGTTACACTGCCCCTTAATTTCGAATTATCCTCGTTCCATTCGCATAATTCGTTCATTTCGATTACACGTCTATTAATTAATTCGATCGCATCGGATTATCGGTTGTTGTTCGAAGACTGGGCCTTCAAACGCCTTTCGTCGATAAGAAAGTCGAAGGCGATTATCCGAAGATTATTGAAATGAAAGAGGAAAAAAGTTTGAGACGAAACTTATTATTTCTTCTCGCATGATTGGCGTAGTTTGAATTTTCGCCGAAAGGACGAAATTCCATCTCATTTCTTTCAATAGAAAATTTCAATCTTTCAACGGGATAGAATACGTACAAAACGCGACGTAATAATAGTGAAGAAAGGATAACGATTTCCAAGAGCCGTGAATATGAATCATTATTCCACATTCGTTACGTTAGTGAAATAGCCAAGGCGGAATTGTGGTGGCGTTCGTGTTAACCAACTGGTTCTACGAGAAGAATCGATAATCTAGGATGGCCGTGGCCCGAGAAGGACGAAACGATATCATTGCTCACGGTCTCGTAAATCACGAACCTTCGGTTGACAGTCGCAATTAACCAATGAGATAGCGCTAAGCCAAGAATCCTCTATAAACCTTAACGTCGCCTGGAAAATCCAGGAAGAGTGTCTCGTATATATCTACCCTGTAAATTCAAATTCAACTATTGGCAAACCAGCTTGGAGCTAGGGGAAAAACGAGAAAAATCATTTCGTCCATTTCTATTCTTTTTCTTTCTTTCTTTCTTTTTTTTTTTTTTTTTCTTTTTTCCTCTCGCTCGAAATGCGTCTCGCGAGTCGTGGGTGTTTATCGGGTGTGGACGTTCGACTCGAGTGAGCCACGTGTAAAATTAAGTGCTGGGTATAATGATCGAGCTGCAATTAATTAGTATGCCGGTGGATACCGGCAATCTTCGGCCCGTGCGAGGATTATCAATTTAACGCGTGAAATACTACCATCGACGCGCACGGTAAATCATTATGGGATATCGGCTCGACGACCCTTAATGAGCTGACGATATTCGTGTATCGTATTCAATATTATTACGGACGAAATTGGAGATTATTTTTTATTGATTAAGGTGGCTCGTTCCGGTGGCTCATTAAGAGTGTTTGGATAACAGCCTCACTCCACTCCTCGATAATTATTAGAATCTTCCGAAACGTCTTTGGAATTTAAATCTTGTACGGATAGGTTTAAGGATTTAATTAAGTATTTCTTGGATATCTATCTCTCTCGACCTTGTCGTCCATTTAATTTCATCCGATTTTTTACCATTCCATCCTAAATTCTTTCCTTCCTCTTCTTCCTCTCCCCCCTCTTCTTCTGACAATACATCCAACGATTTATAATTTTCGAAATTATTCTCGAAAACACAATCTAAATTTCTCCGATAAAATTCCCTCGATTATAATCGACTATAATCGATTACAAGTGGGGGGCTTCGCGAAAATTCGCGCATGTGCAATGGTAGAAACGATTTGCTGGATGGTAGACACGTTCGCGTAGCAAACCACGTTATCCTTGACTCGGTGGCCGGATCGTGTAATTAATATAATAATAGAAATAGCCGCGACACGTAAGCACGTAATGGGCAATGGCGGATACGAGCGGCACAATGGCGTGCACGATCGCCGTGAAATTGCACCGCAGGAATTTGGAACAGGTGAAAGAGACACCTGAGCCTCGAGGAGAGGATCGATCCACGATCTTTGCAATGGGCACGCGTGCATCGAGAGATAGCAGCCGATCGAAGCGGAGAGAGAGACAGAGAGAGAGAGAGAGAGACAGAGAGAGAGAGAGAGAGAGAGAGAGAGAGAGAGATTACGTGCACACACGTAAGGAGGAGATACCGCCCACCGTCCGCTTCCTCTGTCCTGGAATTATTTTCATACTTTCACGTAAAGCGATTGTTTGGCTTGGGCCACCGGGGTCTGCTCCCTCGAGCATGAACGGGTCCGGTAATTAAATTTATATCGATGCCGGAGCGTTGGTCGCAACTGGACAACTGCGCCCGCTTCCTACGTTTTTCGTTTGACGAATCGTTGACACGCGATGAAAGATTTATTTTTCGCTTCGAGGATATAAAAGTTCAAAGAAAGTTTCGTAAAAGATATTTTCGAAATGGAGAATGAACAAATTATCCATTTACTCGAAAGTGAAATAGCGAAGGTTTCAAGAGTTTTCATCTTTTCCTCGACAATCGCGCGTAAAACTAGTTTCTTCTTTGTTCCAGCTATTCGCGCAGAATATATCTTCTCGTGGCAGTTAGTAGGCGTGAACGCGTCATTATCTTTTGCCAACGTAACGATAAAAACGTCATGCTCGATGGATCCGTCCATCCTGGTCGATCATCGATCCTTCGCGCGATCCTGACGGGTTGAGAGGCGCGGAATAATTAAGATGCAAACAAAGATAAGGAGCGGCGATTTATCGACGATTGATCGACGTAAAAAAACTTCAATAGATACGTAGATAGCTAGACTGAGTTTAAAAAGTATTTGCATACACCAATGAAGTATCTTTTTATCGTTTTCTAGTCCCCGTTTTTTTTTTCTCATATATAAAAATTCGGTTTCAAAATTCCACTCGCAATAAACTAATAGAATTCGAATCTATAATTAATTAATAATAATGATGAATAAATACAATGGTGTGTTCAAACACTTTTCCGTAATCGGTCGTAAATAAATTAATTTTTTCCGGGGCTGAACAGGGTGGAAAATAATAATAACGGAACAAAGCGTTTTATTTCTCGATCGTCTACACGTGTTCTCTATATATACCCGTTAGAATAGACGGCAGGAGAGGTCCGCGTGTCCTCGATGAAAAATATTATGAAACAATCAAGCAGCTTGGCGCGATAGTTACGGAGGGAATTGCGACTGATTTATCTTCGCCAGGGGAGAACACCGGTAATACGTTCCGCGCAGCGAGGCCCGAGAGCGGAACACTAATGCCGTGTTTCACGGTAAGTGAATTCGAAAAATGATCGAGCCCCTCGGACCGAACCTTGATCGTTCGAATTAAAAAACCATCGGCGGACTGAGCTCGCGTACAATGCACGCGCCACAGGCGTTCCGACGTTTCTTTCTTTTCCTTCTTTTTTCTTTCTTTCTTTCTTTCTTTCTTTTCCTTGCTTTTCTTTCGTTTTTTAACGTTGCTTACCTGCCCCCTCGTGGAAACGTATACGTGGATGACGATCGTTGGATAATATCGCGCGATGCGTGTTCGAAGTGTTCGAAGAACTGGATTCGAAGTAATGGCAATGCTACTTTTACATTTTTCTACGTTTCGTTGTGGATTTTCGCGCGATCCATTTTCACCAAAGTCTGATGAAACGTGTAGGAAATTCGATCCTCGAATTATCCCAGAGATATAAAGGATAAAAGACGAAATGCACCGTCTCGAAAATAATTAAAATATCACGCGAGAAAGAAAGAAACTCTTGCCCTTTGCCCACAATTTTCCGTGGCCGTCTGTTGAGCAACCAACGTGTTTCGTAAATCATAAAGCCGTGTCACCGTTTCTATAATCCTCCGCGGCATACGTACAATTCTATGTAAATAATTGCTCGGCTCCATAGATCGTGTTAAAACTCCGAAATACCTTTGCTTGGATTAACTTTCTGTTCGTGCACCCGTTAAACAACGGTGAATAGCAAATCGCAAATGCGATTCGGTGTACTCGGTTAACAGATTGTGTCAAATTGATCCAGAATACCTGCGTGTATATGTGCGCGTGTGTGGGTGGGTGGGTGCGAGTACGTTGCCAGGGAACGCTCTTATTTCTATCACGTGTAAATCACTCGCTCGCTCGGTAGTATCGACTATCTGAAAAGTCGATCGGCTATCGAATAAATTGCCGCGCTCGCGGATACGGCTAATGATATCCAGCGTTATGAGGAAACCTTGGCTGTTTACACGGTGGCCCTTTATCCATTGTGTTACGCCATTGGCGTTACTCGTTTCTCGATCGTTCTTATGGCCAATCGTTGGTAAAAATGTATATATTTATAGTCGAGGAGTGTGGGTAAAAGTAAATCTTATTCAAAATTGCCAATGTTATTTCACTTACGATAAATATATGATAATAATATTCCGAGGCAATGTGTGAATAAGTCGATATATTTTAAATATCAGCGGTGTGTTTTTGGAAATTTTTTGGAAATTTTTTGAAAATTTTCGACAAGAAGATGAATGACAGAGATACGTGAGAGGTGTTTCGAGGAGAAGGATTGAACGATTGTTTGATTTCAAGAAAACGGTGATGGTCTTTCAGCCGGGATGTGAAGTTGTTAGGAATAGAAGATACGTGGATGAGATAGGATCGAATTGAATTTAGTGGAGCAATAACGTTAAACTGGAAAGTTCTCTTGTTTCGCACGCTACTGTGACATTTTGCCGTTTCGTTACTTTCTGGATCCATTTAAGTGCAAATTTACTTACTTTTTGCCGCATTCCTGCACCGAGTGAACACACACGATTCCAACTCTCCTTTGATCTCTTTACATTTACGTCAAAGCCGTCTACGAATTTCCATCGAACAAGATATTATGTTCACGGCTTCGACGAACCAAGTCTCGACAGAAGCTTGTCGTTTTAAATCAGGCCAGCCATCGAACCACCTCTTGAATCGACTGTTCAACATGAAATCGGTGAACAAATACAGCTGCGATCTCCTCTGTTTTCTCAAAGTTGCCTGCGAATCAAGATCGATTTTGCCATTTTTAGTCACAACTAAAACCATCGATTGAATCGATTTAAGAAAAATCTTTTTTAAAAAAATGAAATGGACACACGATCACGATTCTACAAAATATTCTCAAACATATATACATATATATATATATATATATAAATTTCTCCAAGATAGAATTTTGCCATTTTTAACCAGAATTAATTTTAAAATTAAACTTTAACCCGATAACAAGCCGATTGAGAGATCCTCGATCTTCTTCCTCGTAAAATCAGCGTATAACGAAGGAAGTATCTCGGTTGTAACGCGGCTAAGATCGAACTGAAACAGGTTGAGTTTAATGTCCGCCAGAGGCGGTAGGAATCGAATGAAATGCCATTTGGGCTTGGCACGTTCGTCCGGCACTGAATCTTCCCGACGCCCACCACGTGTCGTCGATGCACTCGTGGCACCGCTTCTTTCCATCCCTCTCCGATCTAAATGGGATCCCGGCCACGACGACGTTAGTTGTCTATTCCACGAACGTCTTATAAGTCATTTTCACTCGTCCGAGGCGATCCGCTAATTTCTTCCTCATTCAACTCGAGATACATCTCGTAAAACTTGCCCAAATTAACTTATTATTATACCTCTTCCACTCTGTTATCTCTGTCTGACCAGGCCATTCATCGAGCAACCTTCCAATGTTGACGTTTCTTCGAATGGTGAACCGATTCCTTTGGTCGTTTAAAAAGAAGAAACTTATATTTTAAAATCATCAATATCAAGTATCGTAGAAATTAATTTTTTTACGATAGGATTCTATTTAAAATTGTTTCTCGAATGCTATATCCACGGGGGAATCGAGATTATTAAATTTCAAAATTTCGATGGAAATTGGAAAAATCGTGATCTCGAATCTCCCCCTCTCTTTTATTTTTTCTAAACGAATTTTTTCGAATGGTGAACGGATTTTTTTGGCTGTTTAAAAAAAAGAGATTTATATTTAAAATTGTCGAATGCTATATCCACGGGGGAATCGAGATAATTAAATTTCAAAATTTCGTTCGAAATTGGAAAAATCGTGATCTCGAATCTCCTCCCCTCTTTTATTTTTCTAAACGAATTTTTTCGAATGGTGAACGGATTCCTTTGGTTGTTTAAAAAAAAGAGATTTATATTTAAAATTGTCGAATGCTATATCCACGGGGGAATCGAGATAATTAAATTTCAAAATTTCGTCCGAAATTGGAAAAATTGTGATCGCGATCTTGGATCCTCCTCCCCCTCTTTTATTCTTTTAAACGAATTTCTTCGAATCGATTCCTTCGATTGTTCAAAAGAAAGAGATTTGTATTTTAAAATTATCAATACCAAGTATCGTAGGAAATTAATTTTTTACGATAGGATCCGTGTTTCTATTTAAAATTATCAAATGCTATATCCACGGGGGAATCGAGATTATTAAATTTCAAAATTTCGTTCGAAATTGGAAAATTTGTGATCGCGATCTTGGATCCTCCTCCCCCTCTTTTATTCTTTTAAACGAATTTCTTCGAATCGATTCCTTCGATTGTTTAAAAGAAAGAGATTTGTATTTTAAAATTATCAATACCAAGTATCGAATAAGAAATTAATTATTTACGATAGGATCCGTGTTTTTAAAATTTTAAATTTTTCTCAAATGCTATATCCACGAAGGAATCGAGATTATTAAATTTCAAAATTTCGATTTCGTTGGAAAAATCGCGATCTCGAACCTCCTCCCCTTCTTTTATTAACGAAAGCGGACGAAAGCTACACCCCCGCACGCGACGACTTCACAAGAAACGCGACTTTCTAGCGCAAAGATCGCGCGATCCACGCCCACGCTCGGCGGCAAGAGCGTGCCGCTAGACGCTCGATTTCCAAGTGTAACTCTAGTACTCCTTGTGTAACCGACCCTTAATCGTGGCGCCGTTTACACGTCGCCGATCGGGGGAGGGGGGAGGAGGGCCGCGAGTGCGACAGAGGATGGCCGCGGTCGGACAAAGATCGAGGAGGCAACCTGCGTGTGTCGGCACGATCGGTTATACCGATTCACGGGGCACGCGAGAAAAGGAGAAGGATAAGACACGCATTGCTCGCTTATCGAGTGCTAGTCGCGATCTGACACTCCTCCGGGGAAAATAATGAGCGCCGATAGAGTGCACTTAGCCGGTCCTCCTTATACGTTACACCCTTCTAATATTTATGCGCATACTTTGCCGCGACGAGGCTCCTCGCGAAATCGTGGTGGCACTTGAGGTTTCCGGGAACAACTGAACGGTATTTTATTTTCTTCGTGGTTTTTTTTCTCTCTCTCTTTTCTAACGATATGCAATTGATGTTTCAATCTTAATTCACGTAAGGGATAAAGTTTTAGAGAAGAGGCTGATTGGTTTAATTTTGTGGAATTTAGTTTTGCAATCAGACGATTCGTTTGTTCGATTCGACGTTATATTCGAAAGGAAAATTGAAATTTGATTTTTAATTGCGTAAATTTAAACGATAACATAAATGTAAAGTTATAAAATTTTGGAAGATCTTTTTTCTTTTAAATTGAGAGCAGAAACGATTGATCTAAGTTAAATTTCGATTAAGAAATACCGTTTGATCGAAATCCTTAATCGAAGTTTAGATAATAAATTATAAATTTTTATTATCAGGCTCAGAAATCTCGATTACGAAACTTTTACATACACGTTTGTAGCACGATTGATTTCGTTTATCGTGAATCATTTCTCTCGGGGAATTGTTCTGCATATTGAGGCGCCAATCGTTGTTAAGGGATTCCAGTCATGAGAGAGGAGCAAGACAAATTGTCGGCGCACGATCCCGTCGCTCGACCGATCGAGATCGTGATCGTGACGGCGCCGACGACGTTTGTAAATCAATTAAGTCGTGCAGCCGATTACCACGGCGTTAATTAAGTACCACTGTTGCCAGGCCTGTCCAACTGTCCTCTAATTTCGTGTCTGACTCTCCGCCAGGGCCGGATAATAAAGATCGTTGCCTGCTAAATGCCGGCCACTTATCTCGACCAGATAGCGAGCCAACGAAACGATTTCGCGCGAAAGAAGAATGACGATCGTGCTCCGTCGATGCATCTTGCTGAATTTGATTCAATTTTGCAAATTAAAAATTGTATAAAATTTCCTATTTCTTTTCTCTCAAAGGCCGAGCTTCCTAATTTTATCATCTTATTTACTTTATTTCGGATTTTAAAATGTTTGTCGGTGAAGGAAAATTTGAATTCTTCTATTTTTCTCGAATGAAAATATTTTTTTAGAATAGAGTTTCATCATGTTTTGATAAAACATTCTCTATTAACACTTTCTCGTCGTTTATTTTTATTACCTGAAAAATGTCTCCAAGAAATTTCCTTCTAAGAAATTTGGTAATTTTGATTACTAGAATTACCACTAGTCCAGTATCGTTCGACCACTCTGTCCGTTTCTACTGAATCGCAGCGCAAATCAAGTCTCGCCACTTCTTCTCTAAATATCTATTTTACCATCATTCCTGATCGCTCCTCGTCGATCGTTATCGATGCCTGTCATTAATTTATCGAGGGCCGGTTGATAAACGCTGAAAGCTTCGTTTGATGGATTTGTACGAGTTATGGAAAGCAACGGCGAGCTTGACTTTTCGAATCGTTAATTTTGACGCTCAGTCCCCTCGTAACGAATAGCCATCGTATATCTTCGGAACGTATTCGTTTATGGGGAGCCGACAAGTGACACCGTAAGTACCGTTAATCCTATTAAAGGAGGACTAGCTCGGACACTGAGTCGGTAGTCGTCTGAAATCGATACTTGGCAGCGAGGAAGGATAATCGTATTGAGAAGGCGTTTGTTTCGATCCACTTCCTCTGATATTTTCGACGAAAGATCGAACATCTTCTGTGTTCAGTTTCATGAGAGAAGTTTTTAGAAATTTTCTAATCTCAATTGAGAGGATAATTTAACGTTAATTCGACATTCTTTCCATTTCAAACGTTTAATTTCGTTTGCAATTTAAATTGGAATTCAGATCAGATGTTAAAATTACACGTTCTAAATTTTTCTATTTCTAAACTTTTAATTTTCCTCGTGTAGGAAACTCGATAATTTAAATTAGAATTTAGGTCAGGTTTGATATCACGGTGGAATAATTTCTGCGGTAGTAAGGCGGTGATAAAAATAGATGACGTTACAGTTGCACGCGTTGCGTTAGGTTGCATTTCTGATGTAGGAATTAATCCGCTGTCGTTGAATCGGAGAATCAAGTATACGTTGATTATTAATTGCATTCCTGGTTACGTCTATGGAGAGGAAGCTCGATCCACGGTCTTGAATCATTTCAATAAGCTTTGATTAATTATTCGTGGCACGAATAAGAAAGCCGGGAAAAATCGAAATTTTTATTCCCCTCGCTTCGACGAAAGAGGGAAATTATTCTTTATATCCCTCCCGGACAATTCGATGGATAAACAAAAAGCAACGACACAAGAAGGAGAATACCGTTGCGCCCAAATCGTATCTCGGTACCGTTCCTTCATTAAAAAATAATTACAGTGTCGTGATTGATACAAGAGACAAGTTTTATTCCCTGGAACCGCCCTTTCCAGCGCTCGTGCGCAATAATAAAGACAATATCGTCGTTATTGTTAGTCGTGTTTCTCCCTTGTACCGTTACAACCGGACAATCGTTAAATCGACGACGAAAAGAATTTCACCGTTAATAACACACGTCTCTTCCACTTGGTTCCCTCGGGTGATATATTTTTTTCTCCTTCAACCCTCTCAACCTTCTTGGACACGTCGTCACCGACCGACGGCCGATAATTACCGTTGCAATTAAGTATTTCAGGTGAACCTTTCAGGGCGTACGTGCTTTACCGCCGCTTCAAACCATATTTTTCTTCCGATATTGGCCGTATATCAACGGGTTATATGTCGAAACGCGTAATTAAGAAACTCGCGCGAATATGGTGGCCTGCCACTCGCCGCCGGATTCCAACTTATTAGCCTCGCTCCTCCGCGCTATTGTTGCGCATCGTGCGAGTACGCGCGCGATAATACAATGTTCCAAGTGCTCGACGACGACGATGTAACATCTCGATGGAAAAATTAGCTTAGAGACAGGAATATTTTGTGATAATTGAAGCAAGTATCATTCGATGATATTTATCTTCGAGCGAATACGAGGGATATTTTTATTGGAAAGGATTTAAGATCGATAATTAAAGTACATACTCTTCCATTCGGATATTGAGAATTATTACTAGC